TCACCCTATCATAGAACTCCAATAGGTTTGTGACTCAGGATTTCCCGTCCCTGAAGCCGTGCTGGCTGTCGTTGATAAGATCATTCCTTTCTAGGTGTTCCACCACTCTTCTGATAATTTTCTCCATGACTGTGCATACTATACACGTCAATGACACTGATCTGTAGCTTAATGCTTGTATCTTTGTGTGTGTGTGTGTGTGTGTGTTGTGTGTGTGTGTGTGTGTGTGTGTATGTGTGTGTACTCACCTAGTTGTACTCACGTAGTTGAGGTTGCATGGGTCGAGTCCAAGCTCCTGGCCCCGCCTCTTCACTGGTCGCTACTAGGTCACTCTCCCTGAACCGTGAGCTTTATCATACCTCGGCTTAAAGTTATGTATGGATCCTGCCTCCACTACATCGCTTCCCAAACTATTCCACTTCCTGACTACTCTGTGGCTGAAGAAATACTTCCTAACATCCCTGTGATTCATCTGTGTCTTCAACTTCCAACTGTGTCCCCTTGTTACTGTGTCCAATCTCTGGAACATCCTGTCTTTGTCCACCTTGTGTGTGTGTGTGTGTGTGTGTGTGTGTGTGTGTGTGTGTGTGTGTGTGTGTGTGTGTGTGTGTGTGTGTTTGTTTGTTTGTACTGATGAAATCATGCGCAATAAAAGACTCTTGTGGATAACAACTAATTTATCATATGCATTTCTGATAAACTAACCGTAAGTATTACTAAGCTACTTAACTCTAAACTCAGAATAAATTTTATATTATTGCCTAGGTAATATTTTACATAAACATAAATGCAACTGGACAGATTGCAAATGATGTGATAAATTAAAAAAACAAATACATTGGAATTAAATCGGTTCAGTGACCCGAGTAACGTAGCATTGAACGGGATGTTGAAATCAGAGCATGAGAAATGATTGACGATCAATGGTTATAACATTTATGTGAGATATAATTGAAATATATGATAGTGCTTTTAACAGTATTAGTAAAGATAGAAAAAATTATTAACTCCATTTCGTCCACACAGTGGACTTGATCAAGGCACAAACAGTCCGTCTCACGTACAATCTACCCAACATTCTCCACTTGACTCTCCACACTATACATGCTCATGTACTATTCACCCAGGTAGATCTATTTGTGACTTGATAAAGCCCACTGTGTGGGCGAAACGTTGTCAATAAAGAATCACGTTTTCAGCATTTGTGTCTATTTTTCCATCGTGTCGGTATTTTATACCATTCATCTCCATATTAAAAAAGATGTAGGAAGACGGGGTACTTTATCCACTCTTATTATTGTATCAGTGGTACTTCACCTCGTTCTGAAGTCAAACTGACATGGGTTAATGATATTGTGTTTTGTTATGAAGTTGTGTATTTGTTTATGTATTATTTTTTTTCAAATATTTTTTACGTAAAGGCAACCTTCCAGTCGTCCTTCAATTACTGACTTCTGTTGGAACCACTTTTGATTATTGCTGTAAATCTCGTTAGTTTAATTATGTTAGGAATAGCATTGCCTTAACTTGATGTATTGAACAATTCTGTGATTATTGGGCATAACATGTAAGAAATATGTTATGCCTAATATAGGGAACAGGATAAAATATGAACCAGCTGTAAGCCAGCGATTTCATTCGGTCAGCAGACTGTACTTCGATGTGCTGGACGAGTTTAATACAGACCAGAGTCTTTCTCAGAATAATGTTTTTGAGAAGAGTACAGCCTGCGTGTAGTTTGCTTCTCATCTTGTGTAGAAGCTGTCTACTTCCTCTCCTCCTAGTGGAGTCTAATGTGGTTCCTTGACAATGCGGAATCTGATACAAATGTAGGCACAAGAGTATGCCATTAATTATGTAATGAATTTCGGGTAAGCTAATCATGTCTTACATATATACTGTATCAGTACAGCTTGTCTGAATCACTACACACACACACACACACACACACACACACACACACACACATACAATGACACTGGTTATGTGTGACAAATTCGTCAAGTACAAGCAAATTACATAGAATTTATATAAATTTAATGATTTGCATTTTTATTCAGTGACGAAACTTGGTGGCGAAATGAAAGTATGAGAATTTACGAACAGTTAATAAATATAACATTTATGTGAGATTTAATAGAAGTTTTTTAACAATACTAGTAAAGTTGTCGGCAGCTAGGAAACTCTTGGCATTTTCAGGAAGAGAATTCGAAATTTTTGGGCCTTTTATCTGCAAGAAATTTTTAAACAGTTTGAGACGTACAAGTAGAATGTCAAGGGACATTTGTTCCTTGTACTGTGTCCATGTGTTCTGTTGCAGCTCTCCAGATAGAATTTAAACTCTTGAGTTAATGGTTGAGCTGAGAATCCTTTAGACATAACGTGCACATTTTATTCCTTGTACGTAACAGTTACACCAATCAACGAGACACTTGTGAAATGCCTCAGCATGCTAGTGACTTTCCTTGTAATTAATATTTTATATTATGTAAACCACACATTTCATTTCATTTATTCTGGAAACGTTTCACTACCCAGTGGATTCTTCAGTTCAGTGTAGAGAAAGGTGGAAGATAAGGAGGAACTCGAGGTAAACAGTCCCTGAGCCTGGAGTCGATGTGTCCAGTACATCAGTGTTGATGGACTGGACATAGATTGAAGATGCTCAAATGTTTCACATGTCTCATTCATCAGCTTGTCCGTTTTCCTAAACCATTTATTCAGTCAGACTACTCACGTCTTGCCGGTGTTTAAGGCTGGAATGACTGATCAATCCAGGCTGGGTCCAGGCGAGAGATGAGTCATCTTATGGGTTCTCTATTCTGTCCGGAAGACGCAGGTGTGACGAGGGGCAGCCAGTCCAAGTAAATGGAGCATACTCAAGGTGTGAGAGAGCGCTTGTGCCTTACACAGAGTTTTGTAGCTCCTAGTGACGAGCAGGTAAGAGTAAGTTTATTTAGGCACAGTTACACATATGTACAATTATCATACAGAGTGTAATTTACCTATGATATCCCAAAAGAGTCAAAGATCAACAAGGCACAATACCGTGGCTGGAACAAAGTCAAAGTGACTTCCATTTGGGTCTTTGTTACGCCTTAGTTCTGTTACCCCTCTCTCTCTCTCTCTCTCTCTCTCTCTCTCTCTCTGAGGAAGAACATAAGTGATAATGGTGGTACCTCAAGGTGATCCACCTGGCTGATGACTAGTTTTGCCAAGAGCTAGGTGACGCAAGCTGACCAAGGTGACGCAGGCTGACCAAGGTGATGCAAGCTGACCAAGGTGACGCAGGCTGACCAAGGTGACGCAGGCTGACCAAGGTGACGCAGGCTGACCAAGGTGACGCAGGCTGACTAAGGTGACGCAAGCTGACCAAGGTGACGCAGGCTGACCAAGGTGACGCAGGCTGACCAAGGTGATGCAAGCTGACCAAGGTGACGCAGGCTGACCAAGGTGACGCAGGCTGACCAAGGTGATGCAAGCTGACCAAGGTGACGCAGGCTGACCATGGTGATGCAAGCTGACAAAGGTGACGCAAGCTGACCAAAGTGACGCAAGCTGACCAGTCTGATGCAAGTTGGCTAGGATAACGCAAGGTGACGCAAGCTGACCAACCTGACGCAAGTGTGGGTCGCATCCCGGGACAAAGTTAACCTAATTTTCCCGAAATGTTCTGCTTAAAATTTACAAGTAGCTTTCTATATAGTAGTATGTCAATTGATGTCAGCGAGGCCCGTGTACCATTTACATGTAGTTGTAGTAAATAAAAATATTACATTATTATTACTACTACACCTCGGGAAAACGGAAGCCATACTCTTTGGCGCGAAAAATAAATTAAAAGGGGCAAATAATTTTAATGCCTCTTTGCAAATATACAGGGTCTAAAGCCAGCAACGAACGACAAAATACCTTTCATCCATTGACAGCTTGCAGAGGCAAATGCAATGTTCGCAGCTTTCACAGAGACACACATAAAGGATCACTTGGACAACGAAATATGGATCCCGGGTTACAACCTATACAGATGCGACAGAGTGAACAGGCAAAAGGGGGGGGGTTGTCCTGTATATCGCAGAGTCACTTATTTGCACAGAACTGCTTAATGCCTCAAATGATGTAGTTGAAGTTTTAGCAGTAAAGATCGAGAACCAAAATCTATAAAGTAAAAGGACACAAGTGCAACCAATGTGACATTTATTGTGGCAACGTTTCGCTCTCCAGGAGCTTTATCAAGCCATTACAAACAATACATGGACACAGAGGGTATATAAAGGCTCAGAGTGAGGTGAATACTAGTGAGGTACCATTTCGATGTTCACTAGTGGTAGTAGTAGTAGTAGTAGTAGTGGTAGTGACAAAAGTAATACAATATGGTAGAGCAATTAATTCGTACATGAGTAAAAGGATATAAAAGCTATTACTTGGGTAACATAAAAATAGGATGGACAAATATAAACTGGAATGAGGCAGGTTGTTTCAGTGTTCACTCTCTGTGCTTTGTGTAGTATAACAGGAGAGACTATGTGATGGCAGGGTTTACTGTTTTCAGGAGGATTCTTGCTAAGACTTCGGAGATGGTAAAGCTGCCGTTGTTTTGTTTAATTGTATTCGAAACAGCGATCAGTGCTGATTCAAGGCACTTGCGTGTGCGGAAATTAGTTTCTTTTATCACTAATTGGGCGTCTCTGAATTTCATAAGATGATTGGTGGAATGTCGGTGTTGTACACAGGCGTTGTTTAAGTTGTCGTTCCTACATGCGTATATGTGTTCATTGAGGCGGGTGTCGAGGTTTCTTGCAAGAAACCTCGATGCAACATCCCCCCAATGAAAAGCAGGGGTGTCACTAGCACGTTAAGAGACCATACAATAAGTGTCAGGGGCCGAGACTGTTCAACTGCCTCCCAGCACACATAAGGGGGATTACCAACAGACCCCTGGCAGTCTTCAAGCTGGCACTGGACAAGCACCTAAAGTCAGTTCCTGATCAGCCGGGCTGTGGCTCGTACGTTGGTTTGCGTGAAGCCAGCAGCAACAGCCTGGTTGATCAGGCTCTGATCCACCAGGAGGCCTGGTCACAGACCGGGCCGCGGGGGCGTTGACCCCCGGAACTCTCTTCAGGTAAACTCCAGGCCCCTACAACAACAAAGAACATCATCGTGTGTAAGCTGGTAGTGGCCCCTACAACCACAACAACACCACCATCATGGCTTTGGTACGGATGTTTGCTGCCAAGACTATCATCACTGGAGGACTCTTACGTAGTTCTATTGACACTCATAAGTATGTACACACCTTGTTCTTGGTCACCAGTGTACGTGTGCATTAACACAGACATATATCAGTGGTCTGTATTATTATGGTGGCTGATGGTTCCTCGACTCCAATGATGCTTCACTGTCTTTCTTGTAATAATAATCTTTATTTCTACAAATAAATGATACAACTTATACATACCGTAGCTGACATCAGTGACATACTACTATATAGAAAACCTCTTGATATGCAGAGAATTTCTGGGAAATTAGGTTAATTTTTGTCCCAGGATGCGACCCACTCTAGTCGACTAACTTCCAGGTACCTACTTACTGCTACGTGAACAGGGACAGCAGGTGTATTAAGGAAACATGCCCTAATGTTTCCGCCTGTACCGGTGATCAAATCCACGGTGCTCATTGTGTGAGGCGAGTGCGCTACCAACTGTGCTATGGGTCACACTTCCACTCCCTTATTACTGTATAAAAAAGATGTTTGAGGGTTGACCACCTGCTGTAGGTACTACAAGGTTGTAGATTAAGATATATGTGCAACAGTTGGGTATCTTTATTGATGAAATGTTCGCTTATACAGCAAGCTTCTTCAGTCATATACAAAGGCAGCAGGTGTAGTAGTGAAAGTTGATGTAATCAATCCATCAATCTTGGTGAAAAAGGATTTGAGGTAGTCAGTCCCTCAGCCTGGAGAAGAGTTTAGCTCCATGGAGCTGAACTGGCTTACAGTGGCTCAACATACACCAATAGGCGCTGGCAGGCACCTGAAGTCAGTTCCTGACCATCCGGGCTGTGGTTCAACAGTAACAGCCTGATTGATCAAGCCCTGTTCGACCATAAGGCCTGGTCACAGACGGGGCTGTGGGGGCATTGACCCCCGAAACCCTCTCCAGGTATACTTCAGGTATCCTGATGGTTTCACACAGTCGTGTTATTCAGACAAATATTCAGTATTATACAAAACCTAAAGAAATCAGTTAAAGGCAAGCAAAATTCTAAATAATTCCAAATGTTATTACAAATCTTTTGTAATGATGCACATAGTAAATTTCTCTTTGACATCACTCCATGTAAATGCAGAACCTTTAATCATTGTTCATGTAACAGTCATCTCAGAGTTCCTAGTATTGAACAAGTGTTTCTTACTAACCAAAGATCAACTAGTAAAATAACTAGTAATCTTGATGTCTCACATACATACACTAACAAGGGAAGAATTCAAAGATGACTGAATAAGAATGAAACAAATTTCCTCTGCCATTACAGAACAAGTGGTCGTAACATCATCATCGACATCAAGTGGAACTGAAGGAACTCTGATTGCAATCAACCATTAACGATCAAAGCATTAATGATCAAAGTCATTAACTTTGTTGAGTGTCACTAATGATAGAACTGGCATTTCAGACAGGGCTGCTACTATCACTCTTTAGTCTGCTCTTGAAGACACAGGAGTTATACACCAGAATGATTTGCAGTAGTAGACAGAAACAAAATAAGGAGAGCCGGGAAGAAAATGAAATTAACCAGTCAGGAAAGATATACTGCTGAAACATCTTTGGAGAGTATCTACAGGCAGGCCTTGCTTTATAGCACTTTGCTCTACAGCACTTCAATGAAACAAGAGTTTTCAATTACTATACCCATTCTTCATTTATTCAGACTTCCTACAATAAACGTATTCGCCGCTCACTATTAACTAAGGATGAAATATTTTAAGGTAAGTAATGTGTGTCCTGTACAGTGGAAACTTGGTTTTCGTCATTAATTCGTTCCAGCAAGTCTGATGAAAACCAAATTTGACAAAAACTGAAGCGATATTTTCCATAAGAAATAGGGTAAATCCAATTAATCCGTTCCAGACACCCAAAAGTATTAACAAAAAATACATTTTATGGAGAATAACTATAGTTTTACATATAGAAAACAATGAGAAATAAATACAGCCTCTCCTCACTTAATGACAGATTCCTGTTCCTAATGCTGCAGCGGTAAACGAATTTGTTACTAAACAAGGAGAATACTATAATGGTAGTGGGTTTATGTGAACCAACTTTGATATTGCTTTAATGTCACCCTTGCACCATTTATAACATGTTTAGTATATTTTTAAATGTTTATAAAGTAGTGTACTGTATATTGTAATAAACAGAATAGAGGAAATCAGCTCTAATATACTACATTATTTAGGTATGCATGCTGGTCAGAGAGCCTGTCATAAGTCCGAATCATCGGTAAACGAGTATGTCTCCTTTGGGTTGTCTTTCTTCTGCCTTGTGTATTTGTTCCTTCTTTATTTATTTATTTCTTCCCCTCTTTGTTCTTGCTCTTACCCTCTGTGGGCATCTAACTCCCTTGCAGTGCTCCTCTTTCTTAATATTTGACTGGCCACGCCTCTTACTCCCGCCCACTACTACTTCCTTCCACCTCCACTACTACCACCTCCTGCCTATATATACCCATCTTGCTCTCCTTTTCGTTAGTGTGACTTTGTAAATGGTCCAAGTTGGACTGAAACATTGTCGTAAGCTCCTCTCTTCTGTGTGCGGGTTATTTGTGTATCATTCCAGTCACGGTATTGTGCCTTTTTTGTTATTTAAAGACTAATGAAAGGGATAAATGAACATTTAATATCACTTTTACTTTTACTGAAGACTCTTGTTGGCATATGGAAGACACGAGGAGGGGAGAGGGAGAAGGACTTCAGGTATCAAGTCCCTATCCGGGGTTACTTCCCTTCTTTGTTTTTTACTGGCACTGGACCCCTGTCGCACAAAAAAAATCTGTCCAGAGAGGTCTGTTTCTGATGTCTCCTTAAGATTTGCCTAAAATGGGATGAGGCATCGTCACTGAACATGTTGCAGACATGGCTTGCAACAGCTTTGTTCGGGTGATATTTCTCCACAAAACTTTGCAACTCACTCCACTTTGCACGCATGTCCTTAATCACTGAAGAAGGCACATTCTCCCCTCTCTCTTCCTCCTCTGAAGCAATTTCCTCAGCTGTGGTCTGTTGCTGTTCCAGTTGAAGGTGTTGCATCTCTTCAGTGGTTAGCTCTTCCCTGTGGTTGTCCCCCAACACTTCCACATCCTGGCCACTCACATCCAACCCCATGGACTTCCCCAAAGACACAATAGATTCCACAACAGGCTACTTTGCTACGAGTTCTTTCTTGAGTTCTTTCATGTTTTTCGCGTTCTTTATCAAAGGGCTGGCTCTCGGAACTTTCTTTGGCCCCATTGCTTATTTAGCAGTCACATTCGATGAACAAGCACAAAAAACAATGGATTATTGCAAAATGTTTCAGATGAACATGCAAGGTAATACTCACTCGATGAGAAACAAAGCCAGACTGACTCAGAACTCTTGGGATGCTTTGTGTTGGCGCTGGCAGGCGGACACGTTTGGTACAGCAGACCGACGAAAACTGGGACAAAATTTTGACGAAAAAAGTCGTCGAAAACCAAATTCAACGAAAACCAGGGCAAACGACAACCGAGGTTCCACTGTATATGCATTTTTTAGGCCTAGGTATATTGCTTACTTAATATATGATAGTGTAAACATGTTATCAGGCTTTTATATTCATTTGAATGTGAAAAAGTCTATGATTCAATTTACAGTTATTTTCACCTTACAGGGGTAGCCTGGAATGTAACTTACTGTATAAGTTTGGCCCTTCTTTATTTTGACAGAAGAAAGAATAAAGGTATAGTACTAGAAAAAAGTTGGGTGGTAAATGTTACCAAAAACTTATAACAGAAGAACACATCACTTTTAATTATTGGAAAAACATAAAAATACAGGATTGGCCCATTCTATAACCTAATTCCTGTGAATTTTGCCATATCTATCATAGTTTTATTTTTATGAATTGTTGAAAGCAAGTCCAAATAATCATTATTCCAGCTTTTGAGTGATTGGAAATCTCCCATTCCCAAGTCTGGAGCTACACAGTTGCACATCTTATCTCTTCACTTCCTTTGGGATGGAGTTAGAACTACAGTGGTACCCTGAGTTTAGAACTGCTCCCAGCTCGATCAATTATGTAAGTGTATTATTGTCAGTGCTTTTGTAAGCGTATTGTTGGGGGTCTGAAACGGACTAATCTAATTTACATTATTCCTTACGGGAACAAATTCACTCGATAACGGCATATGAACAGCCTTCTGGAACGAAGAAAGTTCGAAACTCGGGGCACCACTGTATCTGATTGATAACCTGAGGATGACAATGAGTTCTCTTATTAATTAGAGGCCTTAAACAGTCCCTTATCCAATAAAGGGTTCAAGAACCAGATTTGCAATTTTTAGGACATGTAACTCCCACGTAAAGCTCAGCTCAAAATGATGAATTAGACACCTGTACACCACTTGGGTATCTTCACTGTGGAAGCATTTTGCCAGCTAGTGGTTTCATCAGTCTAGTACAGAGAAGAAGGGTTCAAGATTAGGGGTTTGAGATAATCAGTCCCTCAACTTGGAGTTGATGTATTCAGTCCATCAATCTTGGTGGACTATTTCTAATTCATCATCATGTCTGTTCTCTGAGCCAGTCATCTTCATCAGCTCAAAATATTTCTTCCTTTTTGAAATTTTTTTTTGACCAGAAGGATATTGGTTCTACAGATATTCAGGTTACGATGTGTGGGACTGCAGTCAACACAGGTCCTAAAGGAGGCATCATAAAAATTATTGACAAAATAAGCAATGCGCTGCATATATCCAAAATCAAATTATTATTTTCACTATTATTTTTCACTCTTATTTTTCACTATTATTTTTAGATTTTGGTGGAAACTAAAGATAATGGTGTATGTTCCTAGGATTTGAAACTGGTTTAAAAGACATCACTATAATGTTATTCCTTGTTATTTATTTTTTATTATCACACTGGCCGATTCCCACCAAGGCAGGGTGGCCCGAAAAAGAAAAACTTTCACCATCATTCACTACATCACTGTCTTGCCAGAAGGGTGCTTTACACTAAAGTTTTTAAACTGCAACATTAAC